TACTGTATGACCTCTTCAAAAATCCTACGATCAACTATAATGGATGGTATTCAATTTGAATTCAATGATATAATATCATTGTATAAGAAAAACGATTCTGAGCGGAGACGGTGTGTCAGTATAGGTATAAAACATACACATAGGTATTATATACATTTCTATGGTATAAAAAAAAAATTGACCAATAATAGGTACCTATAATAAATTCCAAATTAATTATATCACAATATCCATTAGATACTTAAACGCGTTATACATCAAAAACAAACCCAGGGGCGGACTGGCAGATCGGGAGATCGGGAAATTTCCCGATGGGCCGGTCGAATAATCGAATTATGGGGCCGGACAATTTGGTTGTAGAAGTAACTTATTACAATATTTTGATTATAATAAGAGTTTATCAGTTTTTGGTAAATTTAAAATCTATAGAATATAACATAAATAATACGTTAATACGATAATAATCGTACCTTAATATAATTTTGCTTTTCTAAGAAACATACGAAACATAAGGTATTTATATAAATAGAAATTACGCTGCCCGCGTGCCGGCCGCCGTCCCCGTGTTGTTTATAATATACGATAACGATATATTATTAATTCGATGTATTATTGTTGTTAGTTGTTTTTAAATAATATATTATTATAATTTATTGTAAAGAAAGTAAAGTTATTGTTATTAGGCCTATACATTTTAATCTATATTAAATTATTATTAAAAATTGGTTAAATGGTTTAAAATATAATAGAATAGAATATAATAGAATTATTAGTTTTAGAGGCCTATCCGGCTATCCCCTATTAGCTATTTGAATTTTGAATCCCACCGTGTGTTGTCGTTTTTAAATTGAATTATTCTTAATTCATATTGTTACGGTTCCCTAAGACCACATATTTTATATTTTTCTATAGTATTTGAATAAAAATGCTGATAGAAACCAAGGCTCTGCATCCAAACGTAATATTTTTAGATTATTATTAACAAATAATAAATTTAACTCTACTTTTTGTTATTTATGTTATTCAATTATAATTTATGTATTTTATATTATAACTATAATATAAAATATAATTTTATTTACATGATAAATTACTATTGAGTTATATTATATTATATTGAGGTCCTTCAGTAATAAAAAGAGAAAAACTTTAAAGTTTATATAGAAAATTTCAAATATTTTTTACTCTTAAGTGTTTTATTTAAAATTATGGATAACTAAACATTATAAATAGTAAATGTTCAATATGGTTTTATTTAACACTATAAAAAGTAAAAAGAATTATGATACCTATGTAGCTTTTTAGTGTTTGTACGCCACAGAAGGAAAATATACTTTTGTACTGGTTGACGATTACCGATTAATAATATAAAAGAAATATACCTATTGATAGCAAATATGGTAATAGGGTATTGATGTCCATCAAATTTCTAAAGTGTTTTATTTATCTTCTGTTAGTATTAATTATAATTTAAATATTCAACTGAGAAAATGTCTGGTATTTCAAACGTAAGTGCTGCAATAGTGTATTAGATTAGGCCTTAGACAATATGTCAATATAATGCTTAAGTAGTTCCGGCAGGCGGCAACGCCATCGATGTTACAAAAAAAGACCTTAGACAATGGTTTATGGGCGATGGGCCGCTTGAAAAAAAATTCCCGGGCCGCTCTGAAGGAGCCAGTCCGCCCCTGAACAAACCCTGATACTATCATAGATATAATATAATAGTGTACTTTAGAAGTTTCAAGTACCCACGAATAATATTATACAATCACAACAAAATAACTAAAATAGTTATTCTAGGTTTTTTATGTAATTTCGTCCAAGTTTGAACATACAATTACTATAAAAATAAACCGTGCATATGTATTTTTTAGATTTTTTGGTAACAGAATTAACTACTTACGTGGAATCTTGTTTTAAATTGTCAATCCTTAGATATAAAATTTAAACATTTTATACATTTTTAACTACAAAATTATTATTAAATTTTAAATGTGATAAATTTTTTCAAAATTCGATCTTTAAATGCTTATAAAAAAAAATTGTTTCTATGTATTTTTAATATTTTTTAACTGCTATTGTAATACTATATCAGGATCCTTGCATTAAATTTTCACCCTTTTTTACCCAACAATTACAATTTTATTGATATTTATAAAAAAAAAAACTAAAAAAATTTAAAACTGACAATGTCCGTAAACAACTTAAAAAGTTTCAAATTATTTTCAAAATTTTATTGTGTATAGAAAATGCTAATATAAACATTCAGTGACATTTTCAAGTATCTACAGTCATTTGTTTTTTAATTACAACAAAATAAGAAAATCGTTACATGAGAAATCGAGTGAATATCAAATGTTGTAAAAATATGAATTTCAAATGTTCATAAAAATTTAATTTGACTTTCTCTTAGACATTTTTGTTTTGATAAAGGTAGACAAATGTATGAGGAATTTTGTATTACATTTTCAAATCTTAGATTTGAAAAGAAACATTTTTAGGAATTTCTAACTCAAAACAATTTGGATATTTTCGTCATTTTTAAATATTAAATCAATATAATCAATATCAATATTTGAACTTTAAATGCTTATAAAAAAAAAATTGTGACTATGGATTTTTAATATTTTTCATCTGTGTTTGAAACAATATATTAGGAGCCTTCTATTAAATGTTTAAGCTTTTGTACCCAAAAAATAAAATTGTAATTTGTATTGATATTTATAGAAAAAAAAAACTAAAAAAATGGAAACTGAAAATGTCCGTAAAGAGCTCAAAATAAGTCATAATATTTGGAAAATGTTATTATGTATAGAAAATACTAATATGAACATTCAGTCAACATTTCATGTACCAAAAACCAAAATCTATTTCCTCGAAAATAGATTTTGCGTAAAAACGCCCGTTTTTCCTTAATATTTCTTTTGTTTTTCAAGGCGCTTTTGAAAACTACTGAGAAACTTTTACTTTTTACCCCCCCCCCCCCCCCAAGTACCAACTAGAATCACTTTCCTATCAGAAAAGATTCTGTTGAAGAAAATCCAAGCACTTTTACTGTCCTAAAAGGTGATGATAGACAAAAAAAAAAAAAAATTAAAAAAAGAACACATATCATTGTAAAATCAATACATTCATCGTTTCACTCAGAATCTAAAATGTAAAAATAATAAACATTTTATATTTATTCACCTTTTAAACCTTATCTGGACTTCCACAAATAATTCAAGACCAAAATTAGCCAAATCGGTTAGTTTAAATGATGGATGGATACATTTTTGAACAGACCTAAGCTGATAATCCGGAATTTGATAGTTCTAATACCGTAAGAAAATCAAAACACCGTAAATATGATGAGAGTTACATGGATTATGGTTTTACGTATACGGTAGTGGAGAATGAAGAACGTCCACAGCACGGTCTTATATAAGACCGTGGTCCACAGTGTGTTATTTGTTTCAAAGTGATAGCTGTTGAAAGCATGCTCCCTAATAAAATGAAATGTCATTTGGAAACGGTACATGAAACTTTGAAAAACAAACCATTCATATAAATATTGATTTTTTTGTCATTTTTAATTTGAGAGCCGTCAACATTTTGAGAAGACTCAAATAAGCCTTGGGATAAAAAAGTTTGAATACCTCTGCCCTCTGGTATAAACTATGGTCGAAGGTCCTATCCATATCCATATATCTTTATTATCTATGCTTATCACGGGTACAGGGGGGCCAAAAGCCGTTCTCTTACAAATGATAAGGGGAAAAAAAAAATAATAATCTCATACCAACATTACCAACCGATAAAAATGTCAATGTTCAAAATAATAATTTAATATCAGTTTTAGGGCCAGCCTGTAGTAAATGTACTTTTTTATTAATGTATTAACTTAGATCATATACTAGAATACTAGTATATGATCTAAGTGTATTAATGTATCAATTGTATCATCTTTATTATCTATGGTATTAATGTACTTTTCTCTAACACCTCTTGATTAATCTAATGAGTAATTAGGATTAATTAATTAAAATTAAAATTCAACCGCCAAATTACAAAAAAATGGCGAAACAGAAATCCAATACTTATATCTATAATAATGACTAACGACCACGATTAAAGTTATCTTTAATCGTGCTAATAACTAATGAGATATTATTATAATTATTTGGGACTTGGGTTTATTTTTGAACTTATAAATAAACTATAGAGTATTTTTAAACGCATAAACAAGATTATTCCAATACAACAATAATAACTGAACATTGCATGAATGATGAATGTTTTGTGGCATTTCATACCAATTATGACACTAATTAACAGTTATAACATTTAAATAATATTATGTCTTGCATTAAATAATATCTTTATAGAAAAATTATACAATATTGCAATTATTGCATTATTGTTACTTACTGCTTAGTAGTTAGTACTTTGTAATATTTTTATATGATCGAAACTTTAACAATAATAGAATTTATGATAATGTTGGTAATGTCTTTATGGTACATAATGGTACAGGGAATTTATGTTTTAGTATTGGTAAACATGATCCGATAAATTTTTTCTTTTTTTTTCCGAGTTCTTATCAGCTGTAAGAGAACGGCTACACACTCGGTACAGGGTAGTTGTTCGAAAAATGATAAGAATGTCGAGTACGATAATTCTGAAATGTTGGCATTACCAACATAATATTTTTTTTTTTAAATAGGAAATAATTTGACATTTTAAATATGTGCTGCACTGAATAATTCGTTAGCTATTATTTATTACATAACACGGTCTTCATAATAACAATTATTGAACAAGCTATTTATAACTAATATTGTTCTTAACTCTTTAAATAGTCCTATTAGCTATTGCATAATTTGTTGACAAAAGACCTAAGTTAGGTTAGGTTATTAAGATTATAGCCTATACAATTAGTAGGTATACTTATCTGTAGAAAATAAAATAGGTCTATTATAGTCTAATGACTGCAGCTGTCTGCACTCTGCTTATTTTTAAATTATTTGGTATGGAGATCTAAAGTTCTGGACACTGAAATACTGGACGTCTAGAGTCCAGTTATAATAGATATCAACTATGAAACTTGCCTTCAGATTATTTGAGGCTTGTTTAAATTCCACTTCGCAAGTATTTTCTAAATACCTCAACTGGTCTGTAGATTAAAAACAATATGTGACCGACTTTTGATTAGTAACCGGTATTAACTAGTTAAATGAAAACTTACCAATAAATTCCCATATTTTTGGATGAGGCCTTATGATTTTTAAGAGTACGGCATGGTAACTTTCTAAATAATTATTTGTCCTAATATCGCGATTATATACCGTAAATCTTTTAGGAGTTATGGAATGAATCCAAAAAGGAATAATGTATTCATAAATAAATCGGTGGTACGCCAAAGCAACATCTTCATACTGCACTATGAATACAATTATGGCATTAACACCATCAACCACCGAAGGAACTCTGCCAATTCTTTCAGACGGAAGGTATGGTAGTGCAAGTATCTGTAAAACATTTTCATAATGAATTCACCATAATGATTTATTTTAAATGTTTAATAATAGGTAAAATATTAAGAACCATCCGGAAAACACGAGCAGCAACAGGGTTTATTTTTACTAAATTGTAAACACCGATCGACTTGTTTCTGGCATACCGTAGAATCGCCTAAATGAATTAGTAATAATTATATATATATTTTAATATTTCTTATTAAACTCTTACCTGACAATAATGGAAATAGCAGCCCTGGTGAGTTATTTCTCTAAATACATACTGTATTGCCTTGATTTGCCCAATTTCATAATCTGTTATAATCATTAGATTTTGGTATTGCAGGGGTATCATATCTTTGATACGTGCAAATAATGCAGTATATATTGCTTCAGACTTTCCATTTAGAAGCGCATATACCAGAGGATAGCTCTATAATACAAAAAAAACAAGAATTAAGACTTAGAACAGAAGAAAAATATTCATATAAGTTTCATAATTGCTGAATATAGAAAAGAACATACAACATTTTTGTACACTATTTGAAACGTAAATAGTTGGTAGCAATCATTATCTATGGTCTTTGGGACAGTCTTGAATGTACCATCACATCCGGCTACTGTGATCTATAAGTTATAACATCATAACACTACTAATAATACTTAAAAATAAGAAAAAAAATAATCTTGACTTACGTTTTGTAACTCAACAGCTATGTCCTGAATAAAACTTGTGTTACAAAAGACTAATCCAACTAACATTCCATTTACCATCAATGGCCCCTGATAGAATCTGTAAATGGAAATAATCATTTACATTTTAATTTTTTTACTGATTAATATTAGCTTTTACAGATTTGGTTGTGCCTGGAATGTGAGGGTAAAGTGTCGGTTTTCATTAATTTGTAAAAGTTGATGGAGGTGTAAAAGATTCCTTGGAGTTGGGGGGAATATGGATTTTCTAATTTGGCGCATTCTCTCTGTGGCTTGGAGGTATGTATAATTGTATGCTCCTTCTGGACAACTGAAAATTAATTTATAATAATAATAGTAATTACTGTTGAAATTTATCAAAATAATTATTGTATTAAACATTACATTTTAATTGCTTGCATGTATAATGCTTTAGCTGAATAAGGTGTAGGACTATGAGCTACACACTGTTCTGCAAGAATGTTCCGTAATTCCCTCATGGATGTCTCATCTCTCCTTACTCTATGATTATGTCGCTTCTTGATGAAAAATGCATTGTCATTTAAATTTACCGATATCGATCCTGTTGCTGGACATCCACTCTTATATTCCTTGCATCTCACATAACTGTGAACAATACAATTAAATAAAACTTAAATTTCTTCACACAATTGTATTACCTAAGTATTCCAACTTAATTTACATTTTTCTTTCAGTTGTTTTACTTTTAAAGTACATATGTCCTAAATTGTCCTTGATTATATGTCATTCATCGTGAACAATAGTCAAGTTACAGCAATGTGCGGATAATAACGGATGGACGACAATAATACAAGTAAAATAGTAACAATTAATTGAAGCCAATGCTTATCAAGATATTAGAAAATGTAATAAGCGCTACCGCCAATAATTTGTACAGTTACTAACAACTATACGGTCCTGTAATAACTTATAATAACGAACAATCTACGAGGACAAATAAAAGCTTGAACTATATAAATTAAATTAAATAATTAAATAAATTAATATTAAGCAAAATAATTCAATATGCAATTATGGCCAACACGGTGGCACAAAATAATAAAACACATAAATAATAATAAACAACAGTTTGTAATAATCAAGTGCGGTAATGCGACTTATATTGATTACCTAAATGTAAAACACCGATAGGATTATAGGAACTGTAATAGGAATAGTACCTACACAATTAAATATCGGATGAAAAGGAGTTCCCGTTACCCACTAATTGTACTACAATGATACCCACAACCTAAGTACTGTTTTAACGGCTACTTTGCCAAAAGACCTAGTAACCACGCCCTGCTACCAAAATGTACGCCGATGGAGCTCTTAATGGACAGTTAGCCCCAAAGACTCGTACTTACAAGTAGGATACTAGAATTATAATACTATAAATAAAAGGAACTCAAAATTTGATGGTATAATAATGTGTATTGAATTATTCACGAAAATTGTTGGGGTGGACGTCTCCACAGTATAAATAACAATAATAAACGCCGTCAAACACAGGTTTTGCGTACGTATACAAATAATAAATTTAAATTACAATAAATTAAATAAGGCCCTAATTAGGTCACGGGGACACGTATATCCTACAATAATAAATACAAATAATAACGATACGACCGTGATATGTGTGAAGATAATGAGCAATATTGATAGTGATTTCACCGTCCGGTCGACCAGTAGTACCGCGATTTTGGAGGTTGATAAGTCCAACGACACTTGTTCGATGACGACAATGTTGTACCAATCGGTTTCGAACACGTGCAACCACGTGTAAATCCAAGTAACGGACGCCCGACGCACTATATTGCACAGTGCACCGTGCCAACCTCAGTCCAAACGACTGCGGAATTGGATCCACGTATCCACCGAATAACTCGCACACAGTAGGTATTACGATTGCACCACGAAGCACAAACTCGAGACGCCGCGGTAACGCCAAAACGCACGCGAAGTTCAACAATTAGTTACGCGGCAGTGCGGCTACGAACATGCCAGACGGACGGCAAGAGAGACAACAACGAACAGGCACCGACGCCGGACACACGGCGGGCGGCTCGAACGGACTTTGGACACAATACGGACGCCATCGGCGTCCGTCGGTTCGCACCGCAGGTGACATAATGCGTACCTATCTGTCAACCGCGGATTGGGTACATCATTAGTGTTCTCACGAAGACGGCCAGATATATGAGTCGCGAACAGTCCTGTTAAATAAGATTGTATTTAGTATTAGTATTTATCACGATTAAAGGTATATCTTTAATCGTGGTATTTATTTATTTAACGCAATACTATTTACAAGCAAATTTTGGAGTATCGCATGAAGAAGGTACCCGACCAGTTTTCTAAATTCTAAATTTTAAATCTATTGCGGTACTTACACAGCATTTCGAATAATAGAGATATTTTATTCGGTAACGTTGGTGTACCTGTAGAAGGTTAGCGATAAAAATGTCTTATCATTTTTCGAACAACTATCGGGATCCGGCTTATCACCTGGATCGAGATGATAATACGACTTGTAAACACAACAACCACGAACTCAGCTCTATCTTAGTCTGTGCACAGGTCTGTGACAACAACGGACGGCGCCGATAGGAGGACTTGGGCAAGTACTACTACTACTACTACTACTTGGGCAGGTAGTTACTTCTTTATCTATGGTAATGGTAGTAGGTTGTAGCCTGTAGGAACGACGACTGCGTACATCGATTATTGTTATGTAGTATGTAGGTGTTTCAGTGTTTGCCCGTAGGCATAAGAATAATAATAATTATAGTAATAATGTGAATTATTTAGTTTTCCTAGTCGTCATACATATTGTTTTCGTCACCGTTCAGATGCCTTTGAATAACTACCTTTGATCCAGCAACACGATGCCCCTAGGACACGCCGTGGTCGTTTGGGAATGGGAAAACCGGAACGGCCGATGGAAACCTCACAGCCCCGAAGTGGCACAATTGCTCGAAAGGGCTCATTTCAAGAAGTTGACCAGGGTGATACTGAGAGACGCCGACCCGAACATGGAGTCTTCGTTTGTCAATTTGCGTACGATGTACCAGTGTTCTGAAGAAAACGAAGGTGCGTTATTGTATTATGATTTGTAATACATAGTAACTCCACGGTCTACATATCTCTTATCCGAAATTAAATTACCGAAAACTGGGTAACATTAAATGACAACATTTTAGGCGCACTTTTGGCCGTACGCAGATCTTACTATCCGGCCAATGCATTGCCTGGCAAAGGAGCCAGATGGGAATGGGCTGGTGATGTACCTGGAGAGTGGCATACATATGACATGGAATCCCAATGTTTCTTAGAAACAGCTTGGTCAATGGTGAGTTTTGGAAACTATACTGTCTAATACCTATATCATTAACTAGGTATTCATAATTGTTTTTTTCTTACTCTTTTATAGGGTTGCCAAGTTATAGATGTAAGCCGGACATATTTAGGTTTTCCGTATACTATTAATTTTTGTAATTTAACCCAAGTACGGAATGACAGTGGATATAAACGTAATATTAGACGTGTGAACCAAGCACCATACCCACTAGTTAAAATACAATCGGATGAAGTTATTCAATTTAATGGTTAGTTTATCTTTATTTAGACTAATTTTTTTATACTAAACATTTATATAATTTTTTCGGTTTAGATAGGGCAGTTGTAGACACCATAAGAAATTTATCATCAAAAAATGAAACTATTAGAAAATCCAGTTCAGAATATATAGACACAATAACTAAAAAACAACTACATTATAAAAAAAACAAACAAGTAGTTCACGATGGCCATCATAGCGGAACTAATATAGCTCGCACCTTATTAAGTATTTTTGGTAAGTTACTTGATTTATATTTTATATATTTTTAATTGTATAATAAAAAATAAATATTTTTTCAGCAAATAAGAATCCTTCGTCACTGTCTAGAGAAGCTCAATGGCCAATAGGAACCACGGCAACTAAAAGCTGTAGTGAATCAATTAAATCAGATTCATCTATAATTGATTTAGACTCTAGTAGCATTCGCAGTGGTAGACGTCCTAGTGTTGATACTATTTCAACTTATTTAAGTCATGACAGTCACGAACTTCGCACATCACGAGTAATACATTTTAAAATATACAAATCTTTGATATTTTTTTTATGTCTAGCCAGGTATGTAAAAATAAATTATTTTAATTTGTAGTATGATCTCTTGGATTATTCTGGTGGCAGTATTGGAAGTGATGATGCTTTTGAATGTCAACAGAAATCAGACAATTGCAGAAATCAATCAGTTATTGGTATGTTATAGTTTAAAGACACCATCAACTTACAATTTTTTTCAATTATTTAAGAATAATTTTTTATTTTTAAAATTTTACACAATAGGCTGTTTTATATTTGTTATTCTAAAAATAATCTAGGCGGCTCTATTCAAATGCTATTCCTGTATAACAGGGCTACAGAGTAACTCTGTGCCATACCTGCATGTAACTTGTGTTTAAAAATACTATATTTTACATTTTGGAAACAATTTTTATATTTCCAATGTTTAAAATAAAATTTAATATACTATGTTTTTAGGAGTGAATTCAGTAAGTGAGAAATTATCTTGCTATGTTCAAATAGTGGATGACTTTTGGCCAGGACTTGACATGTTATGTCCATTTTGTCAAGATCCACTTATCTCATCAAATAAATCTAACAAAAGCCTAGTTATTGCTTTGAGTATATGTCAACATCGAATGCATCTCACTTGTCTAAACTCAATTTTAAACAATCAACCTTATTCTAATCAGGTATTTAAAATTTATATATTGGTATATAAATGAGAATTACATTATAAATTAAATATCAATTAAATTTTTTTAGTGGATGTATATACAATGTCCAATCTGTATGAAAGTCTATGGAGAAAAAAGAGGTAACCAACCACCAGGTGCTATGAAGTGGACATATTTAAATAGGTCGTTACCTGGGTATGGTAGTACAAGAACTATTCAAATCACATATGAGTAAGTCATTTACATGAAAACCGTTTTATTACTAATTTGCATTAAAAGATTGTAAGTTATTATTTATAAAAATAATAGTTTGCATGGCCAGAAAAAAAGAATTAATCTTGTTTGTTATAATGTTTTTCAATATATTTAAATTCCGTATCATAAAATAAATCTTAAGGGAGCTGGAGGGGCCTCCAGTCTATGAAAAAAAAGTGACTTTTAGACCAATGGCAATAAGCTAGACAAAACTGGAAGAATTTGGTTTGACAGATTTTAATTTTGAAAATTCCAATTATTGTTAGTGTCATAATGAATAATATAAATACAAAAATATCATATTTTTTCGATATTTTTATTCTTGGATATCACAGCTGAAAAAAAAATAATATTCAAAATCTCCTCGATCATTAACTACTAAACTTGTTGATCAATCATAATCCATTTTGAAAATTAAAAACTGTCAAACCAAATTCTTCCAGTTTTGTCTAGCTTATTGGTCTAAAAGTAAATTTTTTTCATCTGCTGCAGCCCCCTTAATAAATCATTGTTTAAAGTGAAATATGTCAAAATATTAGTCTATAAAATATATTTTTTGTTTCTTTCAATATTACTTTTAAATAATTTTAGAATATCATCTGGGATTCAAGGTGAAGAACATCCACATCCAGGTCGTCCATACTATGCTCTAGGTTTTCCAAGAATTTGTTATTTGCCAGACACAGAAAAAGGAAGGCGTGTATTATCATTACTGAGTAAAGCTTTTGAAAGGCGACTGGTATTTACAGTTAGACTTTCAATAACAACTGGTAATGAAGATGTTGTTGCATGGAATGGTATCATACACAAGACAGACTTTGACACCAGAATGCATCATGGATTTTTAGATGAATGTATCGAACAATTATCAGCACATGGCGTTGTTTGAGTAATTTTCTGGATATAAATTAGGTACTAATTCTCTTTTCAAACTATTTTATTAATAACAATTTTACTCGTTAAATTACAATCTAGTTCTTATATATAACCGTTATAGATATAAAACATTTATTTTTATCCTAAAATGTAAAATAGCAATATTATACAGTTTAATTTTTTTATTTAAATTGTACGTAGGTATCCAGATGCTGTTAAAGTTTGAGAAACCCCTGCTATAGAGTATTACAAGTTATTTATTTTTTTATGCAGAACTGGTTAATAATACCCCATCCTCCCTAGACAATGGTCAGTGGCATTGCACACATGTATGACACGCCACTGTAGGCATCACATGATGTATTACACACATAGAACAAAAAAAAAACCATAGCACACTGCTCAATATTTTTCCTATATGGAAAATTATGAATCATAATTATGTTTTTGTTAATAAGTAATCACGACAAAAAAAAAATTGTGTATTTAACCCAATAACATATTTATGTTAAAATTAGCTATTAAGGTGCCAGTTTTTAAATTCTCCTCAATTTACGGGAATTTACGGGAATAACTCTCAAGCTTTGCAGAATAGTTGGATTTTGATAACAATTTTTTTATCTGAAAGAAGAAGACTTGGTACAACCCGCATCGATCTGTGATTTTGTATTTTATTTTAAATAATTGTATTAAAAAAATTGTAAAATATGCTTTGGCACACGTGTCGTATGCTATCTACCAAGAAAATGAAATCTACGTATACGTGTCGTATGCTATCTACCAAATCAATCTTATATAAAAATCTATAAATCTTTCGCATAAACTTAATCCACTATTATTTTTTCCATTGTTATTTGTTGTTGATGTAAGTAAAAAATGGATTTTCTTTACGAATAGATTGCCATGTTTGACAACCCTTTTTTTTACATCGTAAATATTATGTTATAATAATATCTCCGTTTACATCACGTTTCCTGCTTTTTTTTAAAGTTTCTTTCATTTCACCATTACATTGTTCTCCAATAGGATTTAATTTTGTATAAAGTTTTGTATTAGGTAATAAATCACGATCTTTTAAAAATTGTATACAAGTTTCGTCATTAAAAATAATTTTTCTATATAATTCACCCAAAGTACTCATTTTATAAAATCATAAATTTACAATTAATAAAAAACACACAACTACAACGTTTGATCTCGGCGATCAACGAACATACATACTAAATTCTAAAATACAAAATAACTCTGAAATTCCTAAAGGAATTATAAATATATATAATATATACGTATAGAAATATACGTCAATACGAATTACTGTAGATAACGTAGATACGGTAGATAGCATACGACACCGTCAATTTGTTGGTAGATAGCATACGACACGTGTGCCTATGCTTTTTATCTTGTATTCTTTAAGACTTATTATAAAGTTTGAGAATAAAATATTGAAAAACAGAGATTGATGTGAGCTGTAGAATATTTCCCTCTGGCAATTAAAAAAAAAATTACACTTAAATTGTGTATGATCTCTTTTATTCTCTAGATAACCATAAAATTATGTTTCTAAACTAAAATAATCGAAATTCTTCAGATCAATCACAACATTTAAATTAGGATTATACTAATGTAAAAATATTATGTGTTCAAAGAAATCAATTTCTTATATTTTCCTACTTATACTTAAACTATGGTTATATTACCAGTAAGTTGGTTGTTGATACTTGATAAGTAATTTATATATATATTATAATAGATAATTTTATATTTATTAAGGTTTAATTAAAAAAATTGTAAATATCTACATATTGTCTAAAAATGTACAAATATATTTAGTGCAATTTTTATATAATATATCCAAAATAGTATAAATACATTTGCTGCAATATTTGGATATGCCTAAATCAAGCCTTTTTTAATAGTGGTATACCACTTTAATGTGTAACTGAAATAATTTTATTTCATTGTGACGGCTGTTAGTAATTACATAAATGTGTAAACAAAAATTGTTACTAATCTTCATTAACAAACACCAATTTTAATTCATCAAATATGTTAATAAGCATGTTAATCAGAAAAATTTATTTGTTGTTAATATATAAGAAGTTTTAAATCAAATTATTTTTAATACTTATATTTATACAAATTAAATAAGAATACCCATATTTTATATTTATTTATTTTTTATATTATATATTTTTATAACCATAAAAACGTGTTTTTCATTTAATTAAATCATTATCAGAAATTATTTTAGATAGTAAGTGAGGTGAGGAAAGAATTGGTTTTACAATGTTGTGTAGTTTTTTGTGTTATCGTGCTTTTTAGCGTATAAATTGACGTCAACCTTCAACTTTGAATAGGTATCTGGTAATAACTTTGATCTAGTTGGTACTCCTATTGGGGTGCAAAATACATTTGAGAGAGGCAATTTTAACTGCTTATTACATTATAATACTTTTTAATGCATAACAATTCGCGCTCTAATCGTATATTATCATTATTGTTATTATTATAAACACCGGTCAGTAGAATTATTTTCACATGTCAATTTTAGATTCTGAGTGGAGCGATGAAGCTAGTGGTTTTACAATGGTATTTTTTTTATTTTTTTTTTTTTATCCTGTTTACAAAATCTATCTATCTTATACTTGTAAATTTTACTCGGTTCAAACAATAATTTACCTACCTTTAAAGTATATTTTCTAATTTTTATTGTACGTATGTGGTGTGTTTTTATTTACTGAAAACGTTAAAATTTATTTCTATATAGTACTTTACTGTTTTCTTTTTTTTAATTACAATATTGAATATACAACAAAGTAAGAAAATTGATTTTGTCGAAAACTGGTTTTGCGTTACAATAGTTCCCCTTTTCCCTAATTTTTTTCCCAATCATTTAAAAAAGTATCTATACTATCAATTTTTAAATTTTAAATTTTGACCTTAAAAAACACCAATGCTACATTCACTTTCCTACCAGCAAAGATATATTGATGCTGAACACCGAAGCATTTTTCTACTATATATCGTGTATATAGTATATACTATATACTTGCAGATATAAAATAATATTTAACTTATTAAAAACTATTAAAAGGCCCTGTACCGGGTTTTCAAATTTTCCGCAACTCTGTATAATTTGAAAATTATATTTTATACTTTAGATGTCACTTGCCGCCTTAATTATAATACTTAAATACTTGTCGACTAATCTACTGGCGGATGGCCGATAGGTACCTCTTGAGGCTAGGGGGGGGGTATGAATGGGTACCATAGACATATTAATATGTCTATGATGGGTACTGATACTACTGTTATACTACAATTAAAAAAAGATGCTCTGCTGTACAGTAGGTTACAAGTGGGTCACTGTATAATGGATGGTATTCAATTTGAATTCAATGATATAATACCATTGTGTAAGAAAATTCTTATCGGAGATGGTATGTCTAGGTATAAGACATATTATATACTTATCTATGCTATAAAAAAAATTGACCCATAATAGGTTCCTATAATAAATTCCAAATTAATCATATCAGTATATCACAATATCCATTAGGTACTTATAACGCGTTATACATCAACAACAAACACTGATACTATCATAGATATATAATAGGGTACTTTAGAAGTTTCAATTACCCACAAATAATAATATACAGTCACAACAAAATAACTATAATAGTTATTCTAGGTTTTTTATTATGTAATTTCGTCCAAATTTGACTTAAAATGACTATAAAAAAAAACTGTGGTTATGTAATTTTTAGATTTTTTGGTAAAAGAATTAACTACTTACGTGGAATCTTGTTTTAAATTGTCAATCCTTAGATATAAAATTTAAACATTTTATACATTTTTAACTACAAAATTATTATTAAATTTTAAATGTGATAAATTTTTTCGAAATTTGAACTTTAAATGCTTATAACAAAAACTGTGACTAAGAATTTTTAATATTTTTCAACTGCTACTGTAACAATATATCAGGAGCTTCGCATTAAAACGCCAAAAAAAAAACTAAAAAAATCGAAAACTGGAAATGTCCGAAAAGGGCTCAAAAAGAGTGAAAATATTTTTAAAGTTGCATGGTGTATAAGAAATGCTAATATAAACATTCAGTGAAATTTTCAAGTATCTACAGTCATTCGTTTTTTAATTACAACAAAATAAGAAAATCGTTACATGAGAAATAGAGTGAATATCAAATGTTGTATATGGATTTCAAACCCTCATAAAAATTTAATTTGAGTTTCTTGTAAACATTTTATTTTTTGATAAAGGTAGACAAACTTATGTATAATCTTGTATTACATTTTCGTATCTTAGTTTAAAATGAAACATTTTTAGGAATTTCTAACTCAAAATAATTTGGATATTTTCGTAATTTTTACGTATTTTGTCAATATTTGAATTTTAAATGCTTATAACAAAAACTGTGACTAAGAATTTTTAATATTTTTTAAATTTCAGTGTAACAATATAGTAAGGAGCCTTGCATTAAATTTTCAAGTATTTTTACTCAACAAATAAGTTTTATTGACATTCATAGAAAAGAAAACTAATAAAATGGGAAACTGAAAATGTCCCTAAACACTTCAAAACATATCAAAATATTTTGAAAATGTTATAATGTATAGAAAATGCAAATATAAAAACCAGTGAAAATGTCATATATATACGTTCATTTGTTTTAGAGTAACAACAAAAACCAAAATCGATTTTGTGGAAAACCTTGAGTTAAAATTCCCGTGTTTCTTTAATTTTTATGTTGTTTTTCCCTTCGCTTGTGAAAACAATTGTGAATTTTAAAATTTGACCTCCCGAATGCACCAACTTGATTCACTTTCCCATCGAACAAGATACTGTTGAAGAAAATCGAAGCAGTTTTACTGCCTGCCCTAAACCATGATGACAGACACAAAAAAAAAAACACACATTGTAAAATCAATACATTCATCGTTTCACTCAGAATCTATAACATGTAACAACTTTTTCAACATACAACTA